GAAAACTAGGTATATTACCTAGTTTTAACATTTAATAGCTACATTTAGGTAATAGCTACAGATTTGCTTCTCATCATGGCTCTCATTCTATCTGGCTGAGATGAAACTTTAGCCTAAAATTGACGTCAAATATTTGAGTGGGTTGATAATTGCCCACTCGTATTGAGGAATTAAAGTTTTGTGTTTATTACGGTTACATTTGCTAAGCTTTTCAATAAATAAATGAAACAAAATCAACATTTCAATAATATCTACTTTAGATTTAAGTTTTTCTTTATTAAATTATTTTAACAATATAATAATTGACTTGCAATGGCACATTTTAAAACCCTTTTATTATTCCTATATAAAAGTCTCGGGTGTTGTTTAGTAAAATATTTTTAATAGACAAAAGCATTCATTAAAACTATATAGTAAAAATGTTCGGATTAAAATATAATTTCAAGTAGTAACTTCATAAATGTCTTTGTAACGGCGTAGCACAGTTGGCGCTACGCCAGCGGTCATTGACCGCGTAGCAGCTACGAAAACAACGGAAAGCAAAATTATATTAATGCACATTATATATGTGCATTTGAGAATAAAATGTCACTCAGATAAAATAGTTTGATGTGTCTTTAATATAAAATACCTTTCTACATACAAGTTTGTTCTTTTCTATATTACTATATTAACATTTAATATCTAAATTATAAACTAAAATAAAAAAAAAATATAATTTACAAATAAAAACAGAATGACATATATAGTGAGTTTTGTATGTTTTTGTTGACTTCAAAATATATCTAATATATAAATATCTCGTGTCACGGTGTTTGTTTCCGAAATGGCTCGACCGATTTTAATAAAAAAAAATGTATATTTGGTAGGTATGAGAATAGATTGTAAAGTATTATTCACCCTTCTACCCCCCCCCCCCCATAATTGTAACTAAGCCGACATAAAATATTTTTTGGAAAATCTTATTGATATAGACATTATGATACAGAGGCCGAATATATAGTTGTTAGAATTTTTGGCTATCTGTCTGTCTGTTACCGTATCACGGAAAAACCAATAGAAGGATTTTGATGAAATTTGGTATGGTGATAGCTGGGTATCCGGGTCAACATATGGCATACTTTTTACTACGGGAAAATATAATCTCTGAGAAATCTATACTAAACGTTAAAACGCAAAAAGTAGGGACGAACCCGAGCGAAGCGAGGGTGAGTCGCTAGTATTTCATAAATACATAGCGACGAACCCGAACGAAGCGGTGAGTCCGCTATATAACATAAAGTTTTTTTGTAGATTGAAAGCAGGCGTAGCCGCGGGTTCCGCTAGTTACACTATAATATTACAAAATTGATTTTTAAATCAAATAGGCTTTTAAGTGTATATATTTGAAGGAGAAATTTAAAAAATCTTTTTTGACTATTAAAACACCGTATTCTTGTTTTACTTTATTTTAAATCCACAAGATATTGCATGTTTTAAATATCAGAACTGTATCCGACAAAATTGGCGAGCCAATTTAATTAGGCTGATCCAATATTTTATATCAGATCAGAACTGAAGATCAATATATATAATAATATTATTTTGTAAAGTGTTGAAAATAATGTTTAAAAATCTATAAATAAAATAACATTTCAATACTTTATTCTCAAACCGGTATCATAAAAATATATATTTGTTTACTTATTAAAATGCCAAATATTTATTCTTTTTTACTAAATAACTTAGACTTCTTTAACTTCGACTTTAAAATGACTTAAACCAATTATTTCTTGCTTAGAGGGGCAACTTTTTATCGAAATGGATATCGACGGTGAAGCAACAATATAAATGTATGTACATAATAACTACGAAAAGATACATTATAAAGAAGAAGACGTTGTTAGGTTACGAAAATTTGAGGAAATGAATAGAATTTACCTATAAAAAAAAGCTAAGTGTTTCCAATTTTTTTATTGGTAACACTAAAGCACGTCAATAAGTACTACCTGTGCAAAAAATACAACAAATTTGGTTGAGGAGAAAAAAATACTGAACTCTTTGTGACTTTGTCTATTTCTATATAGAGAGAGAAGATATCAGACACAATAAAAACCCTGTATTTCCACCTGTGCGAAGCTTCCATAAAACATAATATCTTAAAGGAACTTTTATAAATGTCAGTTTTCTTAAAATCAAGTAGTATTAAAAGTTAACTTAGTTATAGATCTCTTTATGAGTTAAAAACTGTATCGGTCGAGGGACGCTGGCTGTCCGGAGGCACGTGATGCGCGCCGCACCGCTTCCTATTGATCCGCGCCGACCGGTTTGTACCCGATGTAAGAATATACATCCTTTGGATAAGATATATGGAAAAATATGCAGCTTAGCATTTTTATACATAATATTATTAAAAAATGTACGTTGTACGCGTAGTGTTTTGATTTGTATTTAAAATTGTATTTTTTTGGTCTAAAATCTAAATTGTACCATCATACTAATTGCAAAGAACGAGTTAAAAGGCATAAAAAAATTTGAAAGGTTTATAGAAAAACTCACACGTTACATTAAAATCATTCATCTAGTTATCTTAATATATATAATTCTTCTGTACCTACGTGTGTTTGTTAACCTACTCCTCCTAAAGGACTGCACCGATTTGGATGAAATTTTGTGTGTATATACATATTTCAATGGGCTCCTGGGGACCTGGATGGTTTGAAAACACAAATAGACCCAGTTGGTGGCGCTGCAGTCGGTGTGTCATAAAATTTTCATAAAAGACTCCATTTTCTTAGCAACAAATAAATTTAAATGTTGATTAAATAAAATAAAAATCGATGTGTGTATGTATGTTTCTTATGGACTCTAAAACAGCTGGAGCGATTTTGATGAATTTTTCATGTAATCTTCAGATTAGCCCAGCGGGTGAATTTTGTTAGCGATCGGAAGTTTGGACGCGGGCGAAGCCGCGGGTACTGCTAGTATAAAGTACAAGTTTTTTTCCATTATTGTAAGACCACATCTGAACTAAAGATAATATTAATTAATCTATAGCATTAGTCAATTAAAACAATTGATTTACTTTAGTTTGTCTATAGATTTTATTTGAGTATTTTTAAACAAATATTCAATCTAACCCTTAGAAAAATATATTGTCCTATATTTTATCCATTTCAACACTTCACAAACATTTGTTAGGAACTGTGCTCATTTCCACATTTACTTACTACATCCATAACCGATATGTGCACTGTCCACCACTCGCTGGAACACACGAGATTGCGCACCAGTGCTTAATCCCAACGTGACTGGACAAACGTTTATTCAAATAACTTGAAACATGCAAATAGATTGATGACACTTTTAACATATTTGTGACTATCAATTATGTATCGAAGCGTTGTTTATCTCTCTACAGATTGTTCCCTATAGATTATAATTTATAATGTTTGATTTGTAAAGCAGTCGTGTGAGATTTTCAAACGGCATATTGTGATTATACATATATACGTAGTTAATATTTTTTTTTAGATTTTCCAAGTATATAATATTAATACAACTATATTTTTAACGCAATTAATAGCATATATATACTCGTATATTAAATATTTTACATAATTAATATATTTATTTTTGTTTTGTTTAAATAGTTATAGATTTTCAGTATATTGATATAGGAATAATAATCATAATAAGTTAAATGACTAAGGATTATAACGAGGATAGTTAGACTTGGATCGATTCTAAAACAAGATATATGGACTTTTTATTTTTCTTTAATTGCCTTGCATTTTTTTGTATAAAAGGTCAATAATCATACAGCTTTTTGTTTTGTAAATGCCACTAATAAAAATTGTTATTATTATTTTATGATGTCACTGCCTTCTTAAGTAAACTATATATTACTAATTTAATGAAAATTACATTTTTAGAACCTCTTTACTGATATCGGTACAAAGATAAGCTACATCTAGGGATGCTAACGTTATTAAATTATATTTATTTTTCATTTTTAAATATACTATTTAATTATGTAATATTTTCTTTCGCACGAATACTTATTCGTGCGAATAAAAAGAAAACACTATAAGCATTATAAAAATATACAATACGTGATGATCTAAAATCTGACATAGTCATAGTATTATATGCTTTTTGTTTTTATTTCCGGTTTTTTAGCTGAAAAATATCTTTAAAATAAGTAATTGTGGCTGTTTAAAAAAAGATGGCTAAAATATGTTAAAATTTTAAACTACGGACGGCCCTATTCTAGATGGAAACGTTAACTTCATTGAAGTAAGAAGTCTATTATTTGCTCTATGACACTAATGTATTTACACTGATTTCTGTATTGACTTATACCTTTTTTGGTAAGGTCCCACCCGATTTGATAAACTTATTATCTACTACACCTTTGTCTTTTGTTAAGTATGAGCTCATTGCATTTAAGAACGTCATCATGGCTGCATATAATTAAGGAATCATGTAATTCGTGTAATAATGCTTACAACCAGTATTTACCCCATTTTGATATTTTTCACAGTTACAATATTCGCTACGGAACATGTTGAAGGGTATGTATGTTTTATATTTAATTCTATACGATTATTGTAGATTTGGATACAGTAGTAGCTGTTGTAGTTGTAAAAGTATTGATGAAAATAGGAAAAAAGAGATTAATTTTTTTCTTTCTAATTCGTTTTTAGTAAATTTGGCAGTTTAAACTTAGTAGTAATGTAACTGACTCTAGATAAATTATCTGCCATTTGTTTATTTTAGCTTTTAATTTTATACCGGATAGTGTTTCTTTGCTAGTAGCGGAATAACACCTATATAAAATGAAAAAATCCACAATCGTGGCACTTGCTACGTGTATCAATTTTATTTACAAACAGATTTTTTTTTGCAGATCTTTGCCTGTATTGCAAAGAACCGTAGAAGCGCTATTCACCGATAGATCCGGTACTATTTATCCTGGGACTTGTAAAGTATTTACATCGTCTAAGCGTCAATCAAAAATGTGCCACAGGGAACCAGGACTATCCAAAATTCTATTTCTCGCTAAGCAACAAGCCATCGCAGCATGTGAGGAGGCCTTTCAATATGACAGATGGAACTGTTCTCTCATTTTCAATAGAAAGGTCAAAAGAGGAGTTTTTAAAAGGATATTTAGAGAAACAGCATTTATATACGCACTGGTCGCAGCTTCAATAACACATACAGTAGCAAGAGGCTGTTCCTCAGGAGAGCTCTCCAAGTGTTCTTGCTTAGTTAGCTTTCAAAATGCTTCCACTCAAATGCGAGGAGGGTGTGGCGATGACTTCAAATATGGAAAACGATTCACGAAGAACTTTCTTGAATGGAAACAAGCAGGTTCAGACCAAATAGCAGAAATTTTAAAACAGGACGTGATAGTTGGTATCGACTCTATCGGTGAACAGCTTAGGGAAGTTTGTAAATGTCACGGTTTTTCTGGCTCTTGTACTACAAAAACCTGTTGGAAGAGATTGGGACCTTTTAACTCAGCCATGGGACTATTGAAAAAACACTACCATCACGCGACTAAGAAAAAATTTGTGAACTACACGACAAAACGTGCAATATCGCCATATTTGCGGAGAAAGTTACAGATGGACAGAAAAAACTTGATCTACTTACAAAAAACGCCTAATTTATGTTTGAGTACTAAAGGCCGAAGTTGCAAAGATAGGAATAATTGTGCCACACTATGCTGTGGAAGGGGATTTATTGTTGTAAAGAAATCGATAAGCATACGATGTAATTGTAAAATGGTGGAATGTTGTGTTGTTAAATGTGAAACTTGCGTAAAAGAGGTTGAGTTTTTTACATGTAAGTAGTAACAGAACAGGGACTATATTTTTACTCTATAATCAATGGTTTTATGAAATTGGTTACAATCTGTGATATGTAGATTTGTAAGATAATATCAAACGGTTGGAAAAATTTGGAGGGCACAATCTAAGTTAGGCAAGTTTGTAAGCTATGTATGAGAGCTATGTTAATAAGAAGAATAAAGAAGGGTGTACAAGATGTATTTATACTATATTTTTTTTATTTATTATTATTATATCATAGTAAATGTTTGAAAAATGAATTCGTTTATACTGTAAATATCAGTCAAAATTCAATAGATATTAATAAAAAATATTCTCCTCGAATACTGGTGCTAAGTTATATTTCCATTGCTAATTATTATTTATAATATACTCATATATTATAATAAATTATAAATAATAATAAAACTATTAATCCTACTTTACTACAGGAAAATCTTTCATTCCCACGGGAAAATAAAATAACTGGTTCTGTCGAGTCGTCCTTAGTATATGACTAAAACTCGTTAAAACTTAAGAAATACATCAAACAATGTACGAGAAAATTGTAGGTCTTGAATAGGCCTACAGAAAAGTCTGCAATAGATGTCTAATTTCTAAGGTCTCGCAATAACTATATTTATCTATTTAAAACGTACCATGGCAGGCACTCGAGTGTGGCGAGGGTAAGTCGAAGTCATGAATATGTATTAATTAAATTCCAATTAAAAATATTGTCTTCAGTGTCAAATTATTACGCTTTTTTACTGAACGTCATGAGATTTCTCAGTCCTGAAAAAAACTGGCAAAAGATATGCAGTGGGCCTAAAATTATTTTATTATCTTTTTTTGTTAATAAAATTATTATAAATATAATTTATTTTATAGATTTAAATTTAAAAATCCTTATCGATACTTACCTATACTTTTTAAATACTACATAATGAAGGCTTCTCTTAAAAAATTAAACACTCCATCTATCGCTATAGTAAAGCTTTACGTGTTTAAAGCTCTCCACTATACTTGTAAAAGTTTCTTAAGCATTTATACAGATGGCGTTACTAGATAGCTAAGATGAACTAACTATTATAATACAATATCAATAGATGGTGTTCTAACTACAAAAAAAAATATTTTAAACATTAAAAAATAATTTTCTGTACGATTTATTTATAAAATATTGTTATTGTTTGTACTTTTTGTATTTTTAAAGACCATTCTACTTTATAGGGCCAAATTTCATATTGTTAAAAATAAAACCATTTTGAGTCCCTGAAGTCAATTTACATTAGCGTGAAGTCTGAATTCCTGGTACCCAGTCGAGATTAATGCGATTCTCAACATTTTGCAACGCGCGAATGAAGACGCATAAGCGATAAGATCAATTTAATTCGTGGCGATCGAGAAATATTATATGCGTGGAAAACATCAACACGGTTACAATAGTAACATATTGCGTAATTGTTTTTATTTTAAGGCATTTTGTTATTCATGTACAGATATAAAACGATTTGATATATATTTTGATTTATTTTTTAGTTTTTATTTTGCTATAAAGGGTTAAAGTTTGTGAGTTAGATGTGGGAGATAATCTCTGGAACTATTACTGTGATTTAAAAAAGTATTTTATTAATTTGCAGCTAGTTATTATGGACATTTAAGTACTTATTTTTATATAATTAAAGTTTAAAGAACCTTACCCAGGCTATTTAAAGCGAAAGGGGGACTGAAAAATTAGTAAGTGAAGTGGGGGGGAGGGGGAGGGGTGTCCTCATAAAAAATAAACGGTTGTTAATCGTTACTGTAAATAGATTCAAACAAGAAAGATTAGGTTAATTTGACTATATTACATGCATACATTATGCTTCATAATATGTTGTATGAAAATGGATCTTTTTCGATTAGTCGATGAAATGATACTATAACAACTACCTAATTAAAAAAAAAATACGAAATAGTTTTTTTTATAAATTAATAAAAAAAGTATAAATATGAAAAAAAATCTAATTTTAAATCAAGTAAAAAAATTTACTAATAAAAAGGTTGGGATTATAGGAAAAATTAATGCGATTTCTACATCAAAAATTAAAAAAATCATTGTAATGAGAAAAAAATGTAAAGAAAATGGAATAATATTATGTATAATACACGTTTTAATAGATAAATGGGTAGATCAAGGTAGTGTTCAAACTTTCAGTCTTCATTAAAATACCTACACAAATTTTAATATGCTATATTTAATAAAACAATCCATATTAGTATGCATTTAATAATACATATACAAATTACAATTGAAAAATAAAAACAAATAAAAGCCAAATGAAATAACATACCTAACATAATAATCACTAATGAATAGCACGGGAGTGTATTACCAACTTAAATCTCCTAAAGACGGGTCTACGTTATAATTATGACGCCTATAATATTGACCCATAAACCATAATGGCCGACCACAAAATTGCGGTTTGTTTTCGATACCAACGCACATAATTACGATAGATATTAATCTAAAAAAAGTTTAAAAAACGGCAGCGTTGAGATTTATTTATTTATTGACCTCGGGTTTGGTTACTACGAGTTTCATTCGATGCGTTTTCACTTTTAAATACTTTTACATGTTCACTTATTACGTTATACTCTAATTTTTTTTTCTCTATGTAGTACCTACAATATTTGGGACGAGCTGATTCTAAATATTCTTTCACTATAAGAAAGCTTTATCAAACCTGAATGCGTATGTATACGTATAATATATAATAAATATTGTATAACCAAGAAAAAGATTACCATTTGTCTTTGTAAAAATAAGCGAATATGCGAAAAGTCTTTTACATGACGACAGACTTAGCTATCTTAATCAATATAAATGTTATAGAAATTATCATGACTTATTGTCTATATTATGTCCGTATTATCTGATAGTAATTATATTGGAGTGCGGTTTGTAAGTTAAATTACTTAAAATAGTAACACTGCACTTAAGAGCATCATATCTTCCTAGATTCAATGAAAAGTGTAGTGTGGACTTATAATCTACGTGTATACTAATATTATAAAGAGGAAATATATATTTTAGTGTTTGTTTGTTTGTACCGCATAGACTCCGAAACTACTCAAGCGATTTATATGAAATTTGGCAAGAAAATAGTTTAAGACCTCGGGAAGGACATAGGATAGTTTTTATCCCAGAAATAATCCCTTAAGGGTGTGAAGATGGGGATAAAAGTTTGTATGGCGAAGAACCCGAGCGAAGAGAGGATGAGTCGCTATCTTTTAATAATCCAATAGCAATCAATATACATTATACATACATAAATTATCATAATTTATCATGAATCGTGAACACATAGTAACGCTGTCCATCCTTTACCAGGACAATGCCAATAAAAATCATGTTAGGTCGACCAATTACAGACTATTAAACAAAACCTTTATAGCTTAATGTAATACTTGGCTTTAAAATATTAGTTTTTTTATTAAGTATAAGTATTTTTTATTCATTAGTAACTTTATTTTAGCCAAATCGATTTCTGTCTTCGAATGGTAATTGATTTTTTAATAAAATAGCCGTTTTAGTAATTGACAATTTAATACTAATTTTCATAACTGTACTATAATTATTTAAGGATTTTTATAAATTAAGTTTGACATCAGTTTTAACAGAATTAGATTTCAAAATGTAGCTTTAGAATAAATCACTCAAGCGAGAGGATTTTCTAAGATCTCATATGTAAACTATTTTTAATGATGATAGTTTTTTAGGGTTCCGCACCCGCAGGGTGCCAACGGAACCCTATTACTAAGCCTCCGCTGTCCGTCCGTCCGCCTGTCAGAGAGCTGTATCTCATGAATCGTAATAGGTAGAGAGTTGAAATTTTTACAGAGTATGTATTTCTATTGCTGATATAAGAACAAATAATAAAAATAAATACAAATAAAAATACAAGAAACATTTTTAACGTTCGTAATCGATCATCGAAGTGAATATACTACATACATAGAGTAAGGGTCATATTAATAAAAAGTATATGTACGGCGATACGGAACCCTTCGTGTGCGAATTCGCCTCGCACTTGACCGATTTTTATATTTTATTTGACCATTTGAGTCAAAAGCGAAAAGTAATGGAAATCTAGTGGCTGCAGTAAAACAATCAAAGATTATCTCTATATAAATATCGAGCGGAAATCAAATGTCAAGATCGATTATTTATGTTCCTTTAAACCGATCGAGATGTCGATATATGAAGACGTAATGCCTTTTTATTTTGTCCATTTGTCTGTTGAGAGGTTAATTAATTATGTTAAATAATGCGATATTATGCATATCCCATCACACGGATCGGTTCACATAAAATTAAAAGTGATATCAGAAATGTTTGGTTTTTTATTACTTTTCTATAATTTTTATAACACATAAATAAGAAAGAACCGTAAAATTGAAGCTTTTTAACAATACAAACAGTAATTTAACTACTTGCTAGTAATTCATTTATGATTTACTCACCGCATGCGAATTGGCACGCATATGTATTATATGGTCAAAATATCAAGGTATTAGCTATCAATATTTTCAATTTCTATATATGAAAAAGTTAGATTAAAAATATGCTCAGGCTATTTCGAGAATCGTGTGATGAAAATATAGACAGAAAAAAACCTGAAAACTGCTTCTGATCTATCTGTTTAGTAGCTTTTAACTTTAAACGAATAAAATTTTTTTTGGAAAAAATCTATTCATGCTTTCCTTAAATTTTCGACTAATATATTACGTAAAATACATACATATATACATACATACATGCGAAAAGAAATTATATTAAGTTTGAACGAGGTTGAGGTTCTTTTGTTATAGTTTACGTAACTTTAGAACGTAGCCTGTTGTAATATTATTTGTCTATAAATAAACTATAAAATTCAAAAGGATTTTTCAAATCGGATTTATAGTTCCAGAGATTGACATGTGCAGAGAAGCAAATAAACTCTTCAGGTTTATATAATATTATGTCATAAATTATA